TCTCTCTCTCTCTCTCTCTCTCTCTCTCTCTCTCTCTCTCTCTCTCCCTCCCTCCCTCCCTTCCTCTCTCTCCTTCTCGGAGGCCATGTCCTGACCTGCTCTCCTCTGCCACATTATTCCACCATGGTGTTCTGCCTCACCTTGAGCCCCCAAGAATAGAGCTAGCTGTCAATGGACTGAAACCTTTGAAATCATGAGTCCCCAAATAAACTTTTCCTCCTCTAATTGTTTTTGTCAGGTTTTTTGATTACAATAATGAAAAAGCTGACTAAAACTCTCACGGATTCTTTCTTGGACCAGTCTACTGATATGTCTGTCAGAAGCATTCTTCATTTCTGCTACAGTTATTTTTAAATCTATCATTTCCTTTGGATTCTGTCATTTCATTTTCACCTGTCTGCTTGCACTTCTCACCTGTTCTTGCATGTCATCAACTTTTCCCATTAGATTTTTTAACATATTAACCATGGTTTTTGTTGTTGTTATTTTCACTGCCTAGGAGTTCTGGCAGCTGTGCAATCTCAACCTGTTTCTAATGCTAGCTTTGTCTCGTCAGACTGCATTTTTTTTCTTGCCCTCTAACATTCCCTGTAATCATTGTTGAAAGCAGAAATGATGTGCCAGATCATAGAAATGAAGGTAGAATTTGCCTTTTGTGTGAACTTTTATGCTAATCTGACCAGGAGTTGGGCTATGTTAATGTTTGTTATAGCATAGATGTCACAAGATTCAAATTCCTCTTATGTCCCTGTTTTTGTCTTCTTAAGAAAGCAAAAAGAATACCTGGCTTTCTTAAGTATTCCTCATCTGAGGAAGTTTACACCTTGCGGCTGCTTCAGCTATAACTCACCATTATTATATAGGTGTCCTGCTGTTGGGGGGAAGGCAATGTGTAAGGAAGAGAAGACACCCTAAAGTCTTGTAAGCATCAGTCTTTAGGGGTATGTGTCCTTGTGCTGTGATCTTCCAGGTGTTTCTTAGCTTTCCATCTCCTTTAGATAAAACAAGAGGGTTTGAGGGATTGCATTAGGAGAAATACTCTTCACTTGGGTGAGATAAGTATTTTGCCCTGAATATGAAGCCTATGTTATGGACAACAAATGTACTGAATAATAATTGTTATTTATTTTTCAAAAGATCTCCATGAAGTAAGAGTGAAACTGGTGGCCAAGACTCATTTTTCTCTCTTACAGCCTTCTGGCATCAGGAGGAGGAAACCGTCGAACTGCCAATGTGGTGGCCCATGGGTTTGCCAATCTTCTAACTCTGGACAAAAAGACCCTCCAAGAAATTCTAGTACATTATCCAGATTCTGAAAAGCTCCTCATGAAGAAAGCTAGGTATAACTTTTAAAAACCCAATAGAGGAGCCAAGCATGGAGATGCACACCTATAATCCCAGTGGCTCAAGAGGCTGAGGCAGGAGGATGGCAAGTTCAAAGCCAGCCTCAGCAATTTAGCAAGGCCTTAAGGAAGATCCTGTGTCAAAATAAAACAGGCTAGGAATATGGCTTAGTGGTTAAGTGTCCCTGGGTTCAATCCCTGCCTCCCCCCAAAAAAAGAACAAAGACAATAGAGGTAGGGACCCATAATCCCAGAAACTCAGAAGGCTGATTCAGGACAATCACAAGTTCGAGGTCAGTGTCATAAATTTAGGAAGGACCCCCCCAGCAACTTAGTGAGACTCTTTCTCAAAATAAAAAATAAAAAGAGATGAAGATGTAGCTTAGTGGTAAATCACCCTGGACTCAAACCTCAGTATAAAAAAACAAAAAATAAAAAGCCCAATAGAGTTTGACACAGTTGGTTTTACTGTATAAAATCTAAGCTGAGGATAAATTTGGTATGATTGCCATCAACTCTCTTCATGAGATATGCTTAAGTACAGCTGTTAATGCTGGAACCCGTTGAAAGCTGACAGGTAGGAGAAATTACATATTTTCTGGTAGATTTTGTCAGAAAACTCTCACAGAGCTACCTAAAACTGTTTTCCTCTCGTGTCTACAGAGTGCTTCTAAAGCAGAAGGGTGCTAACAAAGAAGCAACCCCTCCAAGAAAAGGCCTTGCCTTTCTCTTTCAACCAAAAGAAAAGACACCGAAAATGTTTAGAGCTCTCCTGGGAGGGACAGGAGATATTGGGAGACTGCTCAAACTGAAGAGAGAACAAGCAGCTCAGGTAACAAGGCAGAACCAGTTGAGGGAAGTAATGGAGAGAGCTCCTACTCTAATTCCACTTCAGATGGTAGGATAATTTGGGAGAATCTAATACTAATGATTACTCCTTTATACATAGCATTTATTATTATTTGAACTGTGTCCCCACATACCATCACATGTAGTACTCCTCACTTCATTGTATTTAAATACAGTTGGTCCTCATCATTTATGGATTCTATTTGTGAATCTGCCTTCTTATTATAATTTATTTCTGGCCCCAAATCAATACTCATGAGGCTTTTGTGGTCATTTGCAGACAAGTGCACATGCAGAGTGGCAATAAACTCAAGTTGCCTGCTACATACACTTCCCGCCAAGGTCAAACAAGGAGACACTCTACCTTCTTGTTTCAGCCCTTAAAACACTATAAATTAGTAACATTTTATGCAATCTATTTGGCGCCATATTTTTTTGAATTGTGTACTGCTTGTGGGTGGGGCGGGAGAGTGAGAAAAAGAGAGATATTTTGCTTTTTAAAATGGTTCCCAAGTGTAGTGCTGGCATCTAAAGCTCCTAAATGCAGAAATGCCTTACAGAGAAAATATATGTGTTAAGTAAGTTTCATTTAGTAACTAATTAGTGTTTTTGTCCATGAGTTCAATGTAATGGATCAATAATTCACCAAATTAATACATTAGATAAAGTATGGTGGTACATGACTGTAATCTCAGCAACTTAGAAGGCTGAGGCAGGAAGATGGCAAGTTCAAAGCCAGCCTGGGAAACTTGGGGAGCCACTGTCTCAATAAAAAGGCTGGGGTTGTAGTTCAGTGATAGAACATCTCTGGGTACAATCCTCAGAATGAATGAATGAATAAATAAATAAATAAGCCCTAAACAGAAACATATATGAAGCGGTTATATACTGATCAGTTGACAAAAATGGTGTGGCCCTAGGCATATAGGAACCTCACCCTAGGAGCGATGTTCAGCATTAGTTCACATGTTCATGGCGACTTTATAAAACAAAACTTTGATGAGCAATGAGAATCAACAGTACACATACACACACACACATATATATAGGTATATAAGCATATACATATAAATATATAAGCCATTATATATATATAAATATATATAATATAAATATAAATATACAAGCCATTCTACCAACATGCCAATAAAATTTTTACTAAACAATCAATATATATTAAATATATTTCAAGTCAAAAATTACAGATTTCATCCAAGTCCTTCATGTTAAAGAAAAAACCAAGACCCAGATTAAGAAATTTGGATAAGATCACAATTAGTTATAGGGTAAAAATCTACTACTCTACTACCCAGTGTTCAGACTTTACCACTTCGGCTTCTAATTCCCAGAAATATAAAGTCATTCAAATGTTGTTTTTTTGCTCCTCTTTTAAATTTTTGTTTCTATATTTATTTAATTCTCATAATAAATCTATGAAAGCAGATATTGAGAAACAGAATGGGAATTCAGGTTTTCTACATCTAGTCATTATGTTATCTCTAAAAATACTAGAAATGGGCAGCTGTGGACCTTTTAGAAATGAGTGAAACAAATATCACAAAATCAATCACAGTCAAGAAACTAAAACTTACCTCTTACTTTTCCACATACACAACACTGTGGTAAAAATTAGGGGTGTTGTGTAAATCAAATGCCTCATTTATATCAATACTGAAATAATAATTTTCACAAAGAACATATGAGGATAGAGAAATACATAACTAAATTTCTTAAAATTCTCAACTTTGGTGGCACTTGCCTGTAATCTCAGCAACCCTGGAGGCTGAGGTAGGAGGATCACAAGTTCAAGGCCAGCCCTGGCCACTTACTGAAACCCTGTCTCAAAATAAATAGTACAGTACCCCTGGTTCAATCCTGAGAACCACGTCGGGGGGTACCTCAAAGATTCTCAACTTCACCTGTGCACATTTACATCTTGAGAAGGTCTCTTTTAAGTTTATCCCAAGCATCACCAGTAAGGAACTTAGTAGGATTTTTACCATGAAATTTCTATAGATAACACTAAATATGAAAGGTTCAAAAATGATAACTTAAGCACTCATGAGACAAATGGAGAAAATTGTGCTAGGAAGAAATATGAGTTTCTCCAAGAGGGTCTCCCTTGAGCTTCTGCAGAAGGAAAAAATAGACGTTCTATAGTATTTTTACATGGCATTTGGTTAATACTATGTTTTATTAAAATATACATATTTAAAATTTCAACTTCACAAAATAAATGAAATAAGTAAAAACTCAAAAACCAAAAGCAAAGAGTCCTGAGCATTGAGTCTAATAAATCTAAGAGTATGAGGACCAATCGGAAGAGAATTCTTTGACGGGGACAGAAAATGAAATCTAGACTAACCCTGTAAACCAAATGCAACAACTCAGCTTCATTCTACAGCAGAACATTTAGTGAATGATAGAAGCAAGTCAGACATGATTTCCATATTCAGTCAATTCTGATAGCCTTTGTCTTGGCAGGAACCATTGTATGCTAATCAAGATTCCAATGTCCTTGCTTATGATTTCAATACCAATTCTTTGTAACTTCTTCTTCCAGGAAAAATGTGAATCCCCCAAAGAAGAAGAGGATAAAGGAAAAGAAAATGCAGATAAAGGAAAAGAAAATGAAGATAAAGGAAGCGAGCCAGCTGAAAAAACACCAGACAAATCCAAATGTAAAGAAAGTTCTATTGCAGCAGAGGAAATGCCCCCCTCAGTTGAAAGGGCAGTTTTACCCAGAGGAACTTCTAATCAATCACTCATCATCAGCATGGCTCCTTCTGCTGAGGCCGGGGAAGAGGTCCTGACTATTGAAGTCAAAGAAAAGGCTGAGCAATAGATGTTTGATTATCTTTAGATGTAATCTAGCTAGTTCCCAGGATTTTAGCTTAAATTAATGTTGGGAAATGACCTTGCTATGACCCTTGAGAAAACCATAGGCAAATCCCTAGCTTAGTTTTTAAGACTTATCAGAGAGTGTGATTTTATGTAGTGGCATTAAGATTTTGTTTTTTTAATTTCTGTTCACCAATGTTGTTAGTTTTGTGCAATTGCCATTTCTTCTAAGCATATGTAGTATGTTCCCTTCACCCCTTATGTTGTATTCTGGTAATGTTTCTTCTTCCTTCCATTTTGATTAGCTTGGTCATGGCTCTGAGATGATTCGTTATCCTTTGTCTTGTACATTTCTTGTGTGTAATTTCTGGTAGAGCACTTCTATTCTTGGCTAACTGTTCTATGTATAGAGGGGTATAGGATCTTAATAAACTAGGTTAAAAGTCAGATGATTTCCACTCAAACAAGGATGAGGAGTCACTAAAATATCAAATCAACCCCAGAAAGAAAGCGGAGACCATAGAGCCTTCTGAATGAGACACCTGGTTTTCAGACCAGTCCACTGAAGATCAGTAATTGTCAGGAGGACTAACAAACTGACTGGCAAAATCACATTGTAGAAACATGTTAGAAAAATTATTCCCTTTTCCAAAGACACAAACTTTAATATTTTCCCTTATACCAACTTCAGCCATCATCTACCTAGCTCTTCTGGGCCAACAGTCAGACCGGAGAAACCAGACTGTCCCCATCTTCATATAGGCTAAAGTGACATTTCCCAGAATCTCCCTTAAGCACTGGCTTCATTCAAAAGGCAATAGATTAGAGTTTCTCATCGTTTTAAGCTTTAGTAAAAAAAAGTGATGAGGTTGGGGAGGCAGACTGTACACATGTCAAATTGACATATTCCCATAATTTGCGGAACCTACATGTACAGCTGTTTACAAAATCTCCAAGTTAATTAAGTGCACTTTAGGAAGTTGTCCTCATGAATCAGCTAGCATTAGCATAATTACCAAAGTTGCATGCTGTGAGGAGACTAAGAAAGCCAGGCTGATGTCGGAAGTAATAATACATATAGAATTCCATTCCAATAAATGCCATTATTGTATAACATCAAGGTCTGTATAATAAGGCTATTTCCAAGTCCCAGAAGATGGTAATTATTGAAGCAATGTATTGAGAGGATTTTAGCAAATTATATTATCCCAAAAGCCTGCAACATAGATGCATTGAGCAAACACGGTACAAATCAATTATTGTAGCAAAATATATCATTTGGTAGACTTGCCATGGTTTAACCTAGTATTTGAGTATCTCAAAACATAACAAGTTTTACAAAATGTCACTTGGTCTTTCTCAGGATTTAAGCAAATATGGACAAATTTTTAAGTAGCACTTACCCAATAAGTGGAAATTTGTGTATAGTACAGTGACTAGAAAGCCCAGAAAGAAAAGAGCCTAATAACAGTAATGAATAAATAAATAAATAAATAAATTTGAACTTGTGAGCACCTTATACTCTGTAACTTTTTCAAGTGAAAATTAAAATATGACACCAATGCATTTATGCATTCCCTGTTGATTATTTCTCCCCCAAACTATCCTATTTCAGACATTATCATCTTAATTTCAATCCATTAGTCTAACTAACATCTAAGAATGTCAACAGCTCTTTTTACTTATGCAGGGCAATAAAATCTTCCTAGTTGTATTTTTAATCTAATTATCTTCTTTTGCATCCAGCACGTTTTCTGTTCAATCCAAAGAGACATTCGCTTTTCACCTAAAGTGTGTGCTAATCTCTAGTCTAGCTTCTCAGTTCTTTTGCCATAGAAAAATCAGAACTTTCTAAAAACATTTTTTGACCACTTTACCTTCTTACTCAGAGATCGTATTAGCTAGGTTTCTTCAGAGAAACAAAACCAATAGGCCTTTGGATTGACAAGGGGACTTACACCATTGGTTCTTCTGATTCTTAAGCCTTTGGATTCAGACTAGAACTACATAACTGAGTTTCATGGGGCTCCATCTTGTAGCTGAAAGATTGTGGAGTCAATTTCTTATAATAAAAATAGAGATATATGAAAAGATTTGTTACACATTTTCATAATATTGTATAAAGAGATATTTATGATATATGTATTATATATAAAAAGAGTTATGATTAGGAACTGCCTCACACAATTATGAATGATGAGGAGTCCCATGATCTTCTGTTTATAAGTCAAAGACACAGAAGAGCTGGTCATATAGCTCTAGTTTGCAACCCAAGGCCTGAGGACCAGGAGGCAAGATAGTGTAAGTTCCGTTCAAAGCCATGATTTAAAATGGTTTAGTCCCAACTCAAGCAGTGAGGCAGAGAGAGTGAATTCTCCCTTCCTCCACTTTTTTATTCTACTCAGACCCTCAACAGATTAGAAGATGTCCACCCATTGGGGAGATCTGCTTTATTCAGTTCACCAATTTACATGCTGACCTCACCCAGAAATACCCTTGCAGTCTCACCCAGAAATAATGTCTTAACCTCCCAACTTGGAATCCTCTTGTACCTTTCAAATTGACACATAAATTAACTACCTCAGGGACCTACTAGTCCTCCTACCAATTAAATCTTATTTATGTGAATATAATTAACACCACCCCAATGATGCCTTCCACTCAAACTGGTCTTGCTTTCTGGGGGGATGGGTGTATACTGGGAATTGAACTCAGGCACTCAACCAATGAGCTACATCCCCAGCCCTTTTTTGTATTTTATTTAGAGACAGGGTCTCACTGAGTTGCTTAGTGCCTCACTGTTGCTAAGGCTGGCTTTGAACCCATGATCCTCCTACCTCAGCCTCCCAAGCCACTGGGATTACAGGCACCACTGCTCCTATGCACCACTGCTCCCAGCAGGTCTTGCTTTTTCTTGAACTCCATCTGCCCTTCTTCCTCTGGCCTTTGTCCATTCTGTTTGCCAGTATGGGAGGCAGTTTCTCCTCTATCACTTACCTTTCCTGTGATTCCAAATCCAAACACATTCTCTCTTTCCCAACTGACTCCAAAAGCAATCTATGATAGTTCTATTTCAAGAGATCTCTTTCACACTTTCAAGAAATATCACAGATGAAACTTAATTGTTGTATAATTTCTGTTTAATTGTAAATTATTTCTGCTCAATGATAAATGATAGCAGGATAAAACTAATGCTTAGGTTTAGTTGTATAAAGGCTAAAAAACCTGATTTTTTAAAGGCAGAGAGAATCTGAATAGGCAATTCATGGAAGCAAAAGAAACAGGTAATTGACAGAGAAAAGATGCTTGACTTTTGCTCAAAGAAACACAAATCAGAACAAAATTAGAATATCACTTTATACCTGTCAAATTGGAGAACACAAGAAGGCAGAAAATGATATCAAGTTTTTGAAAGTATGTAAATTGGACCTACAACTCTAGCAATACTTAGCAAAATCCTGACAGTGTACCTTACAATACAGCAATATCATTACAGAGTATGTATCCCAGAAAATTCTCCAGCAGGTCCATAAGAGGAAACATATGAGAATAGACAGCATTGTTTGTGATATAAAGGAACTGGAGTCAATTCTGGTTATCTACCTCTCAGAGAATAAAATACAGTGCGTGGGAGTGTGGGTGGATTTACAAGATGGAGTTCGATTCAAAAGTTAGAAGCAATGAATTTGATATACATAAAGCAACACATTTAGATCTTTTCCAAAGACCGGTGTGGATGTTTAAAAAGAAACTGAATAAGACCTTCCATAATACTGTGCGTGTGTACTTAAAGATCAAATATAAACCATCAGGATCAAAACCGCAGTCTAATAAAGCCAAGTTCATTAACTAGCTGCAACAAGGAAGAACATTCACTAAGAGGAAAACACAGCTGTGCCACCAAACACACGGAAGGGCAAGGTGGCTATAGGACATTGGGGAAGGGTGGAGGACAGTTTAAACAGAGTAATGTTTGACAGCTTGAATCAAGCAAGGCTGTGTATAAAGGGGTTAAACATCAGGCCCAGGCCAAGAGGCAGATTAAGGGCCCTGTTTCCTTGGAAACTACTACATTAAGATAAACAGAATGCTGTGTCCCAAAACCTCTTATCTGAAGTTGTGCACCTGGCTGCTTTTCTGTGTCAAAATGACTCAGACCCTTCAGGCAAACGTGGAATGTTTCAGTCTTGCTGATAAGATTTCAAACAGGAAAGTTTCTGACAATCTATGATTTTAGGAAACAAAGTTCCTCTGCACTATGTCCTTTTGTTGACTAAAAAGCAGTTTTTACAGGTTCCAAATTTAAAACATACACAAAATACTGTGAGTCTTTCCCAAGTATATACATGCCAAGCAGTAATAGAATGATTGACCAGTGTGCGGGAGGCCCTAGATTCTATACTCAGCACTCCAAAAACAAACAAACAAAAAAATCACATGTCTAAGGAACTATGTTATAAGCATCAGAAATAGTGACTAGTGACTATGGGGGAAGAGGGAAATGGAAGTTGTAATAGATGACATAAGAAAAAAACAAAATATATCACAAACTAAGAAGTATGATCAACTCAATTCTGTGCCCTTAAGTTGTATCTAATAACAAGCTAGTAGAGAAGTGAGGCTTCTGTCAACACCAGAATCCTTCCTTTAGCTTTGATGACCCCTCAGCCACTAAGTCCCTGTAAACACAGTGCTACTCCATCTACAACTGGGGCCTGACCTGCCAATGAAATTTTCCTTTTACATATGGATTAGTTACTTGAACATTGCAAACATTCCTGACAACACTAAGTGTTATGTACTGAACTGTATTATTTCAGAATTCATATATTGAAATCTTACCTCCCAACATAACTGTATTTGGAGAAAGAGCATTCGGGGAGGTAACCTAGTTTAAATGAGGTCAAAAGGGTGGGGTCCTAATCCCATAGCACCAGTGTCCTTATAAAGAGCAAGAAAGACACAAGGAATAAGTCTGCACAAGAGAAAAAGCCATGTGAAGAC